TCCCCTTCTCTTAGAAACCTTCCAACTCTTGCAGCGCATGCCATAAAGTATACTGATTTAATGGCATTTTATTTTGCTCATTCTTGTTTCATTTGTGATCATCTTTGTCCATATAAGCATATCACCTCTTTCAGTATAAGGCCTCATTATTAAACCTTTCTATTTTTGACAGCACCTGGCATGGCACTGAGAACTTAGAACATGCCTGTCATCAGCTGACCTTTAACCCAACCAATGGACACAGTATTTTCCCCTAATTTCCAGGTGTGGGGGCAAAGCAGGTTTCACTTTAATTTTTCACATAACAACACTGGGGAGAAAGGTGCCACAGATGAAGGGGGAAAAACACAACAACACTCTGATCCTCAAGTTGGCAGGCTTTTCTCTCTTAGTCTCTATCTGCCTGTTTGAATTTCATCACAAGGAGTAACAGATTTCTTTGTTTCCGCTCTAGATCTGGAGTGAATTAGCATTCATCTTTTTGTTTGTTTGTTTGTTTAGTTAGCAGAACTGTCTTCCATATTCCTGGAATCATGAGATCTTGGAAGAACATGCTCAACTGAAAGAAAAAAAAAAAAAACAACTAAGGAAGACTTCCCCTTCTATTTGTTTCCCAGATTTTTGAAATTGATCCAATGCATAATATTTTGGTGGTGGTGGTTGTTAAAATCCCTGGTGTAGGCAAATGGGGATAACAAGAAATTTTGGGGGCAAAACTCTGGAATTCCCTGTGTTTTCTGGTCGGCAGGCTTTTCATTTATAGTCCATTTAAAATTTGCATCAAAGACTACGGCCCGACAATGTGGGGATGATGCTTTCTTCATTTTGCTCCACATTGTGAGGCCACCCTGGGCTGAATGTCATTTTCCTGTTGCATGTTGCTGGTGTGTCACTGTAACATATATTAAAAGGAATGAGACATGGCTGTGCCTGGATCTCTAGGCTTGTCAGCTAAGGAAATGCTATTTACGAGTGATTAAATGAAGTGAACTGGTTTAAGGTAGAAACAACTAGCCATCTACATTTCTCTAAATTCCTAAGGCAAAAACAAACACCTGGACCCTGGCCTTTGAAAGACAAAATCTTTGTTTATCTACATTCTGTTTTGCTATGTACCTCTGAGAAAGCAGGCCTCGTTCTCAACTTTCATTTTGCAGTGGTAGAAACTTTGGGATCCAAAATTCTGGCCTCAAGTTAAACTTCTGTTAGATATTACCTATATAACTCCAGTTGTGTATTCTCTTATTGGCTCAGTTTTCTTATTTATGAAACCAGAACAAAAGAGCTGATACTGTAAGGTTGTTGTAAAAATTAAGTAAAGAACTCAGTCATTGGTTCAGAGCACGGCACAGAGTGGGCACTTGGGGGAATGTGAGCTGTTTATTTTCTACCCCTCTTTTTATGGATGCTATGAAGAACAAATCAGTGATGATGGGATGGCAGCTGTCTTGGTTTGGGCTGCTATGTATGACAAATACCATAGAATGAGTGGCTTAAACAGCAGACATTTATTTCCCACAGTTCTGGAGGCTGAGAAGTCCAAGGTCAAGGTGCGGGCAGATTCAGTTCCTGGTGAGGGCCCTCTTCCTGGCTTCTTGCTGTGTCTTCATGGGGCAGAGAGAGAGAGTGTGGGAAGGGGTGCTCTGGTCTCTCTACCTCTTCCTATAGGACATCAGTCTCATGATGGAGTCCCACCCTCTTGACCCCATCTAAACCTAATTATCTTGCAAAGATCACACCTCTAAATACCATCACACGGGCGGGTGGGGCGGGGAGGTTAGGGCTTCAAGATATAAATTTTGAGGGACACAGACATTGAGTCCGTAACATCTGAGTGACAGTGATTTAGAAAACTACATCTTTCTCTGCTGCCATTCTCAGCTGGTCTTATTCCCGGTGCCTGCCTTATGCTGACTAGTAAGGAAGATTCCAGAGACAGAATCTGAAACCCCAAAGGACCCTGAGAGATTGTCAGACTTTGAGGAGCACCAATCCCCAAATTTCCCAAGACTTGGGAGGGAAGGAGGACAATAAATGGAGGTAGGAGAGACAAAGTATAGTGCACCCACCAAGTGATAAATAGCCCCATTTTCTGCAAGGGTAGGGGCTCCAGTGCCTGTGGCTGGTGCCATTTCGACTAGAACACAGGCCTCATGTCAGGCAATTGGCAACTGTTGCCAACTCCTCTTGCAATGCTCAGATAAGCAGGTCTAGTCTGTAGCTCTACCACAGGCTTGTGGTGACAGCCTTGGTCCTCATCTGTCATGAGGTTGATTACCCCATGGCTGACAGGAAGAGAGGCTTACAGGAGACAGACTGAGGAGGAGTTTTGAGATGACAAGGTTTTGAGCTTCTTTGGAGGTAAGAAGGCTTGAGTGACTCAGGGAGGCTGCCTGCATGTGTGCCCAAGGGGGTGGGAGACATGACAGCAAGCCACCAGAGCTATAGGAGAATGGAGGCTCTAAGCACCCCACCAGCAGGCAAGGTGGAGATGAGGTACCTACCAACAATAATCTCCTCCTTCCTTCCACAGCTTTTCACAGGCTGCACGGTGATTTCGAGATGTACATATTGAAACACGGTAGTGTCTTCATTTCCATCAGACTTTGGTTGTATAACCACGATAAGAAGAGGGGCAAGAAAAGCTAGTGGTAATGTAACACAGGGATTCGATAGGATCCCAGCAGCTGGAAGGTCACCCCGAGCAATAAGATGGAAGTAGCTAAAGCAATGAAAAAGAATGAGGTACAAGTTAAGGACAGAAGGCTGGAGGCAGAAAAATCAAAGAAATTCCAGTTCTAAGTTTACTGGGAGATAAGTAGTGGAATATGGTTGAAAGGCCCTGGAATTGGAAAAAGAGGTATGCTAACTCAGTTTTCCCATTTATTAGGCTTAGTTAACTGCTCAAATTCTCTATTTTCCCATCTGTGAAATGAGGTTAACACTCCTCTACATGGTTGTTCCGGGGACTGAATGAGCTAGAACAGGGTATACAAGTTAGGATTCTTGGGTGTAGGCAACAGAATCCACTTGGGACCAATTTAGGCTGGAAAAGAACTTATTAGAGAATGGATAACCTACAGAATCTCCATTAGGGCTAGAAAATTTGGCTTAGAGGCTACATAGTCAGAGATGCCTAATATTGGATAGAAGATCTGGGCCGGGGGCCACAGGAATGGCCCCTCTCTCAGGGCGGGGACACTGAAAGCTACTGCTGGAATCCCCCATTGCTGCTGCCTTGGGAGACTGGACCTGGCTGCCACCATCCTCACCAAAATGAAATCTGCATGGTACCTGTTCCTTTAGGCCCCTGGCCTCTAAAGCAAAGTCTGAAGCAGGTGGTTCTGATAGCAACAGCTAAGTCAGATGTTGGGCCCTAGTCTTTGAAAAAACGTCTGGTGTCTGCAGTGAGGAATTTCCCAATCACAAGAACGGTGTTGAAAAATACTGGAAGTTTGAATGACAACAACACATGTCTACTACCTATGTGTAAGTCTGCAGCTTATAGTCACTTGACAGGAAGGTCTTCACCTTGGCAGTGGGGAAGGCGGAGGAGGAGGACGAAGGGGCCCCAATCATGGTTTCCGCTAACCTGCTAAAGATGGGGCCCATTAACTAAGAATGTTGAGTTTGATTCATGTTGGTGGGATTTGTTTCACCTCAATGTTACTTTTCTTCTGCTGTGAGAGGTGGTGAACGAGCTCTTAAGGGCAAGAAGAGGCAGCCATGTGATTAAGTCCGCTAAATAATTCAGCTTGTTTCTTAGCCTCAACTTGGTCCCCACTTTCTATTTTTTCTGTGAACACTGCAGTATAATCCATAAGTGGTGCATTGGCATACAAGTCTTGTTATAGAAAAATGCTCATTCGGAACCTAGACCCTTCCCCTGTCACCAGCATCTGGTTAAAAAAACTGTTCTCCAGAAAAAAAAGAAAGAAAGAAAAAGAAAGAAAGAAAGAAAGAAAGAAAGGAAGGAAGAAAAAGAAAGACCCAACATGCACCTGTAGCACCTTCTCAGTGAAAGCAAACGTAGTTTTCTTCTCGCTCTTTCTTTTGTTACCATATAAATAAAGAGGCTACTGAGATTTCGCAAGTTGGTCGGGCTTTGAAGTGAGCAGAGAAACAAGCACAGTTCCCATGGGCATAGCTGAATGAGGTTTTGTTTTTGTTTTTGTTTTTCCCCATCACTGTTGACTGAGACAATCAGTGGCTTTTGGTACCTACTTAACCTCAAGTTTTCCTCTACCAACTCTCTGAAATTTCAGATTCAGTCCCAGTGCCCTGTTTGAAAAGTCATGGGTCAGCATTATTCTGCTTTAGGATCTAGATCCAAAGTAGAGTTTGTGTGGTCGGTGTTGCCACCGTGTCTGCAGATCTGGGCTCTGTCTTGGCACGAAGCTGGCATTTGACACATGTCTAGAGCAAATGACAAAGAAGCAGTGTGACCTAACGCTGCAATTCCCAGATGCTAGGCTCTCTCAGGGTACAGAGAACTGGGTCACTCTTCCTGAGTTGGATGCTTTGGGGACGCCCTGAATTTGATCAGGGCCCTGGCAGGTGAGGGTAATGACTGAAATTGGGGAAGGGGATAGAGACGAGGCAGCTCTACCAGGTATGTGAAAAAGACAGCATCTCACCGGCTTATGACACACCCCCACATCCCTCAGTTGCACAGACCTGGACAGGCTGACTGGGAGGACCACCTCCTATTTCTTCCAGGTACCCCACGGAGTGCATCTCTCTTTTCTGATTTCCCCTATTCTCTCTTCCCTGCCTACCACGCTCCTACCATGCTCTTTGAAACACAGTTTTGGCTGCTAATTGTTAAAAAAAAACACATAAAAATGATTGATTTAGGCTTCCCTGGGGGTAACTCTGCCTCATTAGGGCCCCTCTTGTGGGATTTCCTTTACGGATGATGGTGAGAATCCTCTCTAATTCTCTGACGTTCTTGTAAGTACAAAGGGGCAGGAAGTCTCTCTTCATAACCCTCCTGTCCTCTCTATTCAAGCAGAGAAAGCACATGCTGTTACTCGCGGGTCCCGGGGGCAAGGTTCTGTGGGACTATTTTTAAATCAGGGCAGTAACATCCGCCAACAGAGCGGTAGCGAGCACGCAGCTGCTGACCGCAGGCTCCCGGTGGCGACATGGGGTCCTGTCCAAGAAGCGCTTCTGAGCCGCGTTCATGGTTGGAGGAGAAGAGGCTGAGGCCACGGTCAAGGTAAAGGTAGGCTTAGAGGCCCTTCATCGGTCCCCCTGAGAACCAGCGGCCTCGAGCCCTGCTTCTCAAACTTTGCCATGTAGCCCACTCACCTGGGCGGCTTGTTCTGACCCAGATCGCTCCCTGGGCCTCCCTGGCGGAGTTCTGATTCACCAGGTCTTGGGTGGGGTCTCAGAATTTGCAGTTCTAACACATTCCTGCCTGCTCCCCAGTGTGTCTCATCACAGGATTTCTACCCACTGGACTCGGTGACCTCTTGTTTAGGCCCTCAAGGGGTTTCTAGCACTTTCCTGATGGGTCTTTGCACAAATCATTCCCTCTGCCTCTTAGGCTCTTTCCTCACCCTCTGTCCAGCGAGCTCCTACTTTGCACTATCTTCAGATTTCATCTCTGTTACTATTTCCTCGGGGATTTCTGACCATCATACTAGGCCTGAATATCAAAAGCTCTCCTAGAATTGTGTACAGTTTTTTGATTAAATTTTGAGTAATAGCAGTATCTCTACTGCACTATAAAGCTCCATGAGGGTAAAGTTCATGCCTACTTTTTCCTTCTATCTGTGTGGTAGAGGTTTATCATGCATTGTGGCTGTCTAGTATTTTTGGACCACTTTTTTAAATCTGGCCAGTTTCCTTCATGATGAGTCCTGCGTCTTCAAGAAAGAATCCAGAACCCATTCACATCTCTTCCCTTACAACTGGAGTCCAGGCAGGTTGCCCAGACTAGCCCAGGCACCCTAACCTGTGTGAGACCCATCATGAAGCACTATGTGAAGAACCAGGTACCAGGAAGGATCTGTCATTGGGCAGGACGGCGTCAGGGCATTAAGCTTTCAGAGGACAGCAGTGATGAAGCTTCTGGCATCTGATACCCAGCAATGCTGGGACAGCCTGTTGTGTTTATGCCCACTGTGGGGCTGTGGGGGCTGCCTGCAGTTGGCTTGTGGTTTGACCCAGAATTGCTCACAGAACAGTAGCCTCCAAACGAAATTGTCTGGCCTTCCACAGATTCCCGGGGATAGCTAAAACACATGAATAGTCCCAATTCTTCTGATTGAACTGGCTAGAACAGGTTTGTAACTAAGAATCCAGGTAATTATACTCTATCTCTGGTGCCTAGCATAGCACACAACATACAGCAGGTATTCTGTAATATTTGTTGAGTGGGATAATTTAGTAAGTCTTTACTACAGTTAAGCACTATGCCCACAGGAAGTTATGTGGATTTATCCTCACAAACTTATTAATATCATCTTCTCTTGTAGACTGCACAATCCCTCAAGATATTTGCTGTCCCTACTTGGGAGGATTAAATTTATCTGCTTCATTGATACAAGCTTAGCCATGTCTTGCTTTTTGGCCTGAGCAAAATCTGAGCAGAAGTGATGTGTATCACTTCTGAACAGAAGCTTTAAGAGCCAGCATGTGATCCTCTGTGCCCTTTTCTTTTTCCCTCTCTGCTAAGAGTCAGGCAATTTTCCAGAAGGAGGCTGCTTTGTTAGCTGGGGTCCTGGAGAGAATGTGACATAGAGCCAGATAAATCTGACCTGCAATAAACATGCAACATGTTGGAACTGCAAGTCGGGGAGATATTGGTGCTGTTTGTTTCCATGGCATAACCTAGTCTGTACTCTAACAGATACACTCATTTACACATGAAGACACTAAGGACACAAGATAATTGAGACAGGATTTGAATCCAGGCATTTTTACCTCAGAGCCCATTATATCTTAACCATATGCTAACCCCTACCCGGCTTAATCAAGAAGACAAAAGAAGAAATCATCACCAATTTTCTATATAATGATAAATGAGAAATTAGAAATAACCACACATTCTGGGGCGCCTGGGTGGCTCAGTCGTTAAGCGTCTGCCTTCGGCTCAGGTCATGATCCCAGGGTCCTGGGATCGAGTCCCACATCAGGCTCCCTCCTCGGGGGGAGGCCTGCTTCTCCCTCTCCCCCTCCCGCTGCTTGTGTTCCTGCTCTCGCTATCTCTGTCTCTGTCAAATAAATAAATAAAATCTTAAAAAAAAATAGAAATAACCACACATTCTGAAGACATTTAAAGCATTATTAAACAGCATCTTGCAAGACGATATGGAAATGTACTTGGAGACTTGGGTGAAAGGATAATTTTCTAAATAATAAAATTAACCTTAGGAGACATAAAGACACAAAACAGAACAACCACCACAAAAGAAACTGAAAATTTGATTGATTAAAAATTGATTAAAAATCTATCCACCCACCTCCCTGACTCCTACACCTGCTGGCCACTCCTTAAAATATTAGTCCTAGATTGCTTCATGGGTGAATTATTTCAACTTTTTAAGTAACGGATAATTCCCTGCTATTTAAACTGTTCCAGAGCCTTAGTACAAAGCTCTCACACTATTTTTAGAAAGCCAAAGTAACATTGTACCAAGACCTTACAAAATAGCACTAAAAAAGAAACCTAGCATCCAGTCTTGTTTAAGAATAGGATTGATAAGTCCTTAAATTAAATATTAAAAATACATAATTCAGCAAAACAATAAAACACAGCAAGTGGAATTCATTTCTGAAAATTAAGGATAGCTTAGCACTTGATACATGCTATGATCATACATTATCCTAATATAGATCAAAAGGAAAATGATGTTCATCTCAGTTAATGGCCAAAAGGCCTTTAATGAAGTTCAATAATTAGTTTTTAAAAAAAGATTTATTTATTTATTTTAGAGGAGGAGTGTTGGGGGAGGGGCAGAGGAAGAGGGGGAGAGAGCATCTCAAGCAGACTCCCCCCTGAGAATGGAGCCTGATGCAGGGCTTGATCTCAGGACCCCGAAATTATGACCTGAGCCAAAATCAAGAGTCAGACATTTAACCAACTGAGCCACCCAGGCGCCCCCATAATTAGTTCTGATTTAAAAACATAGACAAACAACTCAAACACAAAGGAAAACTACAATAGATGGATACTTTCTTTACCAAACAGTAAAAAAGATATTTCAGACCCTAAGTCAGCATCAGGTTTAGGGTGAAAACACCAGAAACTTCAAAAGCTATGGTTTCTCACTCTCAGCACTGTTGTGAGACACTGTTTGCTGTGCACAGTCTATTACACTTAGATAAGAGTATGAATAAGAGATAGAAATATTACACCAGGAAAACTAAGCAAATAAATTGAAAAAACTATTAAAACAAGAGATCTCAAAAAAATCAGTGTTTTTACAGAAGTAATAAGGACACACACACACAGAACTTGTTTCTTCCTAAGATGGAATAGGAGGGGCTGAACTTACCTTCCAACTGATATAACCAAACACCGATGCATGCAAAACATGAAACAGTAGTTTTTCAAACAGTGGACATCAGGCAACAAAGGACATTGATTCCTGAAGGACAGAAAACAAATGTTGTAAGTTCTGTGATTGCTCCAGCTTCTGCTTTGAGACAGTTTGCAGGCTGTGGTGGAGGAAAGGGAAGCGGGCAGAGCTCAGCTGACCACCTGAGTTGAGATTGTTTATGCAAACAGAGCTAGTTCAGGGAATAGAAGAAAACTTTAAAAATGTGTAACTAAAATCTTCAAAGAGTTAAGAGAAGTTACTGTATCCATACAATAAGGCCAACATGCCAGTGAAATAAGGCCAACATTTCCAGTTAAAGACAGGAAAGAATTCTTGGGAGTTTAAAATATGAGAGAAGGAAAATGAAGGGAGATTGGAGGATAATGTTGGAGAAATCTTCCTGGATATAGAAAAAAAAAAAAAAAAAGACAAAAAACCCCCAACAACCCTGAAAAGTAGAGGAAAAAAAGTAAGAAACTCAGAGAATCGATCTAGTAGATAATAAAATTCCAGAAATAGAACCCCCCCAAAAAAACAAAACTAAACAACAAAACAAAACAAAACCAGACTGAGAGGAGGGAGAAAAGTATTAAAATGATACAAGTTGGGAGGGCGGGGGAGAAGAAAAAAAATAACACAAGTAAACATCTTACAACACAAGAAATTGAGTTTTCTGATAGAAAGAATCCACCAAGGACCTAGTACAATGAAAGGAAAAAGACTCATACCAATGAGCTTCACCATGAAATAACCATAAACTGGGAATAAAGAGAAAAATCCTCAAAGTTTCCAGGAGGAAAAACAGACCATTCATAAAACAAGAAAAAGAATGGTATTGTCTTCTCACTGAAAATGGGAAGGAAAAAAGACAATGAAGAAACATATTTGCAGCTCCAAGGAAATTATTATTATTATTATTATTATTATTATTATTATTATTATTATTTTGTGTGGAGGGGGAGCTGAATTCTATACCAGCCAAATCAGCAAAACAGGGGCAAGAGTAGAATAAGGATATATGTTAAGACTGGCAATGTCTCAAAAAATTTATTTCTTGTAAACTCTTTTTCAAATGCTACTGTAGAATGTGCATCTCAAAAACAAGGGATGAAATGACCAGAGGAAACATGGGACTGGAATTAAGATGGAAGGGAGTCCCAGAGCTGCAATGGAGCAAGCAACTGTCAGTGGATGAGGAGGAAGGATGGCTCCAGTGAGATTTCTTTGGGGGAAAAAAAATTGAACTGGTAGATTCTCTGAGGGAAGTAACTACATGGAAACAGAGCTCAGAGGCATTTTACAATTCTTTTGGAGGGCTTGATAGGAATTATCATCAGTAAATGTATCCACTTAAATGCATTACATAAGTCTTGTCTATTTATTTTCGTTCTCTTAAGTACAGAATTAGTTACCAATAATTATTATACAGTTGACCTTTGAACAACGCAGGGGCTAGAGGTGCCGATCCCCTGCAAAGTTGTGTATAATTTTTGACTCTCCCAAAACTACTACTAATAGCTTACTGTAGACTGGAAGTCTTACCAATAACATAAACAGTCGATTAACATACATTTTATATGTTGTATGTATTATATACTGTATTGTTTCAATAAAGTAAGCGAGAGAAAGGAAAATGTTAGTAAGGAAATCATTAAGAAAGAGAAAATACATTTAC